TTGTAGCAATATTGTGGTGAAGAGTAAAATGTGATTTTAGTAAAAAACAAAACGAAAGATTTTTATCAAATGTTACATTGCAAAAAAAAGGAATAAAAGGAGGAAAAACAAAAAGAAAAGAAAACTTCCATTTTCTGGGTGTACAAAGACCATGAAGACCTATCCCAGTGCTTGGGTGGGTTTTGTGGTAGTTAACTTGGTGTGTAATGTGTTTCCTCAGTGTAGGAAGTTGGCTTGCCACATCTAACTAGTCCAGGGGTGGGCAAACTTTTTGACTCGAGGGCCACAATAGGTTCTTAAACTGGACTGGAGGGCTGGAACAAAAGCATGGATGGAGTGTTTGTGTGAACTAATATAAATTCAAAGTAGGATGTGAGGGCGATCTGGCTGCGACATCTGTCACCCCATTGATCGCCAGGATTGATTCGGCTGATCTGGCTGGCTAGGGGGGGGGCCCCCTCCCCCCCCCCCCATCCCTCGGTTTGCCCTTTTAAAAAAGAGAGAGAGAGGATATGCATGAAGGTGGCCCAGAGTTCATTTTCTACAGGACTTGTTTCTTTTTATTTCTTTTCTTTTTTTTGTTAATCCTCACCCAAGGATATTTTTCCATTGATTTTTAGAGATGGTGGGAGGGAGGGAGGCGGGTGAGAGAGAGAGAAACATGGATGTGAGAGAGACACATCCACTGAGCCAAACTGGCAAGGGCAGGACCTGTTCCTTTTTGAAGAGCTGCCCACGCACTCGCTCACGTGATCTGGTAAGATCCTGAATAGAGGTCGCTGCGGAAGGAAGCATCTAACACACACGCCTAGCGCGCTCACAAAACAGACACCATCTCTCTCGCTCTCATGGCTGTGGCAAGTGAGGCTGCAACTTTCTTTTTTTTAAGATTCAAATCTTTTTTTAAAATATATTTTTATTGATTTCAGAGAGGAAGGGAGAGGGAGAGACAGAAACATTAATGATGAAAGAGACATGTCAATTGTTTGCCTCCTGCATGCCCCCCAACCAGGGGCCAGGGATCGAGTCTGCAACTGAGGTACATGCCCTTGACCGGAATCGAACCCAGGACTCCAGTCCACAGGGGCCAACGCTCTATCCACTGAGCCAAACTGGCCAGGGCTCCGTCCCTAACTTCTCCCTAGTTTCCCAGCGGAATTCTGCTGAGCAAAACCACGGTTGGGGGAGGGGGAGGAAAATGCGTGACTCGAACACACGGGATCCTTTCAGGTCTTAGGTGACCTGTGCCCACTGTCTCCAGGGAGCGGAGGACCCCCACATGGGGAGGAAAATGCAAG